CCTTGTTTTCAGGCTTTCAGGCTGAAAACAACACGGGGCCTGTAGGCCCTTGTTTTCAGGCTTTCAGGCTGAAAACAACACGGGCCTGAAAATGGTCCGTGCAGCCTGTTGCAGGCGCAGCATGTAACACACACAGGCTTAGAAAACTTGTCAGATTGCGGGAATCTCAGCAAGGCATCCATTCCATCGGCAGAACACAGAAATCATCAGTGTTCTCAGTCTGTGTTATGGCGGGTCATTACAATGACAATAAATACTGATGTAGGTTACCCCTGTCCTGATTACTCAGCGCGGGGCACCAATCTTTGGCGCCCCACACGGATCACTGTATACGTGTGCGATAAGTGGATCAATAATGCATCACCTTAAACCATAACTACGTTTCCAAGCTGTAGTCCCATTAGGGAAAATGACGCCAAGCGCAACGGGGGTCCGGGCTAGGGTTGGCAAATACAAAACATTTGGGCCTTGTGGGCCCGAGCGGAGGAAAAAAAAGCAAAAAAAAAAGAAAAAAACTTCAAAAAAGAAAAAAAAGAAAAAAAGGGAAAAAAAAGAAAATGCAGAGTTGAAAGGATGGACGTCGGGGAAAGCCACGAATGAAGTGTGCTTACAGCAGTGCCTCCAGGAATGCATCTGCCCAGAATCATCGATAGTTTCATTTTTTGTTTTTTCTGTTTTTTTATTTTTTTTATTTTTTTCTTCTAACTTAGTGCCCTGCTGACAAGGCAGGGCGCTTTCCACGGCCAACTGAAACTTGCAACCAACGGGGCACTCTCACATGGCCTCAAGATTCTGTATCCAGCTGCTTTTACGTCCAAAGAGTCATTTGCGAGGATCTGGGTCCTTGGCAGACCTAAGGGCCCCCTGCTGCAAATGTGCCCGCCCTAAGTGAAGGCGGGCCTAACAAGTCCCGAGAGGCCCTAAGCTGTCAAATTCGTATTTGGGGTCCAGGCAGTTTTGTCGCGCCAGTTGGTTGAGGAAACACAGGCCGAGAAGCAAGGAAATTCCATGGCCTTCCAGGCTCTTCCGAAAGCACAGGCCCTGGACGAGATTCGCAGCCCCATACACAGACAGTTGGGAGGCCCAACCGAATGAGGCCCAGTAGCTGCACCTGAGGCGCGGCATCCTGGGGCCTACCGGAAGCTTCTGGGCCCAGGCCCAGGCCAGCCAGGCTGCGAAGGCAGGCCAGCTCTTTTCCATATAGGAAAGAGCTCGCTGCCAGGAAGGGCATTCGGGCACTCACATGCTGGCGGCAGCGCTGCTGGAGCTGAAGCTCGTCGGATGCTGCTAGCGCTGAGGGGCGAGGTGCTAGCACGTGCGGTCGTGCAGGGAGCAGGGCGCTGCTGAGGGCAGCGCCATAGCCCAGCCTCCATGGCTGGCGGGCTTGGATGTACAGTGAGGCGCAGGGGTGGTCTTCGGGTGTTCAACAAGGGAAAGACGTGGGAGAGAGTCAGGGGAGAGAGAGAAGGATGATGATGATGATGATGTGAGGGCACATGCCTGGTATTGGCGATGGTTTTGCATGGGCGACATCTTCAAGTACTTCGGAGGCTGCTGACGTCAACAGTAGCATTGTCAATTAGTAGGCTAGTAGTAGCTGTATAGGGAGTAGGCTGGGCGCCGAGCGCCAAGTAGGGAGATAGGGAATGGATACATATGTTGGTGGTGGCGAGAGCAAGCTCTCATTGACATTGGCTTTCAGTGCTACTATTCTCCATTGGTGTCATATTGGTGCAATGCTA